TTAGAGAAGGAGCTAGATGTTATAAGGCAAGCATCAATGAAGAGAGAATTCAAGGAAAAGGCTTTAGCAGAAGAGAAAGAGAAATTGCAGGCTGAAGTAAGTACAGGATTTCAAATTTCTTCTAGTTGCATACATGTACATGTACATGTATATCTAAAATTTTGTCAGTTTTGCACTAGACATGTACATGTACTGTACTTGTAAGTTATTTGCCCCTAAATTATTTTGTCTAATAATAATTATAGTAATGCACTCTATGTTTGTATTTTCATTGCTTCCACTGGCAACATAAAATGCATGCAGATTGAAATGACAGTGTTATAATTGTTTAACTTTATGGTAATGGCAGCTAACAGTAACAAAACAATAACTAAAATTATTCAGCGATCAATAACTAAATATAAAAAACAATAAATCAGCAAATTTCAGTCCATCATGTAGACTTTGCTTGAATGATAGACTTATGGCAAAAGTTTCTCTGCTGCAGCAACAGCTATTCCAGCACCTAGCAATTTACCAGCTTCAGTACCTTCCCCAGGTTTGATGAAAGTACCTATTGTAGCACCTATGGTACCACCAAATGCAGATGCTATGACTGGGACTGATCCAGTGATTGCTACTTGTTTTAACATTTCAGCATATTTTCTTATCGACCCAACAAAATTTATTGCTTCAGGAGTACAACGGTTTTCACAAAGAGCCCACAGTTCGTTAGTCCAGTCATCAGATGTAGGTAGTGCATCTTGATGTCCAGATGTGATGCACCAGGGAATATCATTAACTATTTCTTCCTTGATCCCAGTTGATAGTAAAGCTTTTTTCCAGGCCTTTGTGAGCTCCTCTGCATGTGCAACCATTTCGGATTTAATCTCATTGTTAGTTCTGCTTGTGACATCATGGTAAACAGGGTAATGATCTCCTTTAGTGAAGACAAGAATGGTGTGCTTCATCAAATCATTTCCAAATATCCTTGCCAGCTCTGCAAGTATTTCTCTAACTGTTCCATTAACTTTGTCATACAATCTATGACATATTAATATGATATTAGCTGCCTTCATCTTATCAGCCACGACTTCTGCTATCTTCCTGTTTTCCATGGTCATGTCACTAAAGCCTTGAGTATCACAAAAAGTGATAGGTATATCGCCATTGGGGGTGGAACATATGCATTCCAATTCCATGAGAGGCTTTTCATGATCTGTTGGAGTAATTCTACCACCAACCTTAGCTAAGTCATCTCTACCAGAAAGTTTATTGATCAGTGAAGATTTCCCACTGTCATTGTTCCCAATGACAAGAATCCTTAAAGGTTGAGCTGGGCTAGTTGATGATGCCATTACAAAGCAAGTCACTGTACCGTACTCTGAACTAAAGTCAGCAAATACCTTTATTACATCACTGGGGCAAGCCTACGCAGTTATGCCTGAATCAGCACTAAAGTTGTTTGCATTCTTTTAGTGTTATCATTATCATGTGAGTATGGTACACTTTCAAAATCAAAGATCAATTTAATACGCTGAATAGTAGTTTCACATAGCCAGCCTCTCCCTAAATGACTAGCTGAATAGCAGAAATTTGCAGAAATTGATTTTGTGAACATCCAGGTACAGGTCATTGGCAAAAATTATTATCAAAATTATAATATAAATTATTAGATCATAATAATTATTATTATTATTGACCTACTTTACTGATGCCAACTGGCAAAGTTCCATAATTACTATAAACCTGTAGCTTTCAATGTAATACTTTGTATCATTTTTAATAATTGTATTTACTCCTTTTTTATTTCTAATGATAGTTATTATCTATAAGACAAAGAGTATCTGAGTAAGGAGAGATGTGATCTCTCTCATCGTGTGAGGGAGAATGAAGAGAAGGTGGAGACATTACTCTGCAGACTCAACGATTGTAAGCAATCAAAGGAAGAGATCTATGAGCAAATGGTTAAACAAAGGTAAGGCTTGGGGTACTTGTGCAATGTATAATGTGTATTAGTAGATTTAAGGTTGTGTTACATGTACAGTATATACAATAAAACCTTCAAATAACAAACTTCTTCTATATTCATTTACTTTATAGCATGGAAATTAATTTTTAACAATTTTGGTATTTTGATAACGATTCAGTATAAGAGAGAGAGAGGAGGAGCTGCATGTACATTGTGTATTTGTCTCTCTCTTTTATCTCTTAATTTTATGCATATTATTTTTTCTTTCTCTCCCCTCTATCACACTGCATATGTATTTATCAATAGACAGGAGCAGAAGGATGATTATGAGTCAAGACTACAGCATGAACTGGAGTCACTG